GAATATTTATCGAACGTTATAAATTTAAGCTTTCAACTTACGTATTGCTGCCAACCGTATTCGAAAGAAACGAGATATGTTTTCCCAACAGAGAGGAAAAATATTCTTATTTTCATCGTATAAATGCTCCGTTGAGTCTCAGATCCTTCATGACAATTAGATTGGATAAGATGATGTACATCATTATTAAAATGGTTCATCTCTTTTTTTTTCTTATATAGTTTATCATCGATATATGTAGAACTCCTTTGACAATTTTTTGAATGGTTATTTACAACAACAGTTAATAATGTCTTAATTACGTTCAAATTCACGAGATATTCGACTTCGAAACGCCTCAATTTGATAGGTACACCGTTCTTCTCGCTTTGTGCTACGCTTAGGAATCCTATAATAGCAAACGCTTCAATCAGTCTGATTGTCCTCGCCATATCGCGTAATTTCCACATTCCTTCTCTGTGTATCGGCTCTAGAGCTTTGAATGGAAGAGAGAGAGAGAGAGAGAGAGAGAGAGAGAGAGAGAGAGAGAGAGACAGAGAGATCATTTCGTCTCTCGAGAAGGAGAGACTGAGAGATAGAGACAGAGACAAGGAGACAGGCAAAGAGAGATAAAGAGAGAGAGAGAGAGAGAGAGAGAGAGAGAGAAAGAGGGAGAAACTGAGAGACAGAGTTATATATGGTGAGAGAGAGTATAGAGAAGTAGAAGCATGTAGGCATGGATATAACCTGCTTAACTCATGACCAAATGCCATTCCTATCTCTAATACCGAACCTCATGAGTCGAGTAAAATCTATGACATTGAACTGGTGGTAGCTTCAGGAAACGATAGAAATTCCAGATGCATATACTCATGAAATATCAGTGAATCTTGTAGTTGGTAACGTTCGTCACGGAATGACAATCAAATCTGAAATATAGTCATATTGTTCCGAGTTATTGGATAAAACGAATAATAAAAACTCATAGGATAAACGCACGCTGTTTGGTGAGACTAATAAAAGTAGACATACAAATTAATTTAATATATGTATGTATTTTTTTCTTATTTTTCATTTTTATAATGAAACACATTTTTTATTATTTTACAAATCTCCTAATAGTAAATGAACTTTAATATTAAATTTTTTGACGATTATATCATATAATTTTAAAAATGAATAAGTTAGTCATGTTAAAGATTTTCAAGACTGAGGCAAACGTGAATTTTAATAAAAATTCGTCTACGTTTAAACATTCATTTTTAAAGTATAAAACCATCTCTGCGAATGACTTCCTCTCTCTCTCTCTCTCTCTCTCTCTCTCTCTCTCTCTCTCTCTCTTTCCTCTTTTCTTTCTATTTTCGGGATTCGTTATAGCTTAATATTCTAGCATATTATATAGTTTTAATGTAAATTGTGAAAAACATACGTATAATACGAATGATATAAATTTTTGCCAAAGGAATTTTCAAAGAGTTTTTAAATTTATTATCATAAAATTCTAAATAAAAATCCTATGTCTATTATATTTATAGAATATGTAAATCCAATTTCCTTCTTAAGAAATAAACCTCTCATAAGGCGATTTTCTATTAAAATTATAATTGGAAAACGTTCAATCTCTTTCTTTCTCTCTCTCTCTCTTTCTCTCTCTCTCTCCCCTCTCACTTTCTCTTTCTTTCTCTTTCTCTCTCTTTCATAATGTCTCATTGAACTACCCAATGTTGTTCTCTGAAAACGAAAGCCGTAAATTAACTGGCTTCTCTCGGTGTATCGATCGTATCGGGTTCATATTGGTCGAATGTACATATCATACTTACGCAGATCGCATATAGGTAATCGAGTTCATTGTCTGCTCGCCAATAACCATATTCACAAGCTATGATACGCTCATTATTCTCTGACTCGTTAGTTACATGAGTTACACGTCAAAACCATTATCGTCACCACATAGAATCTCAAAGTACCGTCTACATTTATACATACATAAATTAATACAATCGAATCGTTCAATAATAATTTTTTTTTTTTTAATGATTCCAAGTCATGACGAACGTACGAATAATTACAATTAAAATGTGAAATAATCAGAAAAGAATCGGCTTATAAGCTATTTAATGAATCATTAGCTATTGTGTATTCCCTTTACTATCTATTATTTTACCAGAGGGATCAATAACACGAGATCTCTCGCATTTGATTTCTTTTTTATGGTCATCGAAAATTCACATACTATCGTTCTCGATAAAAGACTTGACGTTTAGAAGATTAAAAAAGTCAGACGTTACAATTCGTTAAATTAAAAGTGTATAGTTAATTTTGCTTCTTGCCAGAAAAAAAAACATGTTAAAGGAAATCATTCTGAACGAAAAAAAATTTTTTATAATATGTTACTACTCATTGTTTTTTTTTTTCCTTTAACGATGATTTATAACGTTAAGACAATAACTCATGTTTGTCATTAATGGGTGTTAATTGATATTAAAATATAGTAAGTCATGAGATAGAGGAAGGACAAAAATATATCGAGAATAACGAGGTAAAGAAGAAGTAGTTCATTTTAGACCTGCATTGATATAGACAGGAGATTTCTCACAGTGAAATTTCAGTGAGCGTGAAACTTGGGAGATGATCCGTTTCAAATCATCAACAGATGTGACCGCCACTCCGTATTATAGGATTTAGAAGCGAAAGGCAGAAACGTTAAACGGTTTAGAAAGAAAATTGAGATCATAACTCGAGTGACAATCGTTTATACTGAGAAAAATAAATCGAAAATGTGATCGAATTGAGTAGCATGTTTCTTTCCCTGTTACGATAAGCCATTTCTTACATCCTTTTTCAGTTCAATGATTTTTAAATCCATGAAAAAAAAGTACTATTGTTGATCAGTAAGACGAAGAATTTTTGCTTTTCCAGCGCCATTCGCTCGTTCCCATCGACTCTACTATGTTTTAACATAAACAATGTATTTTATAATGGATGATTGAAACGATAAAAAACCTTTAAACGATCCACGTTACGTTTGTGACATAAATATTACGTTATTTTACGTGCTAATATAATACTATCTTCCTATAAAAGAAAAACTTTCGTCGATCATATCAAAATGAAAATGAAAATCATTCATACTAAAACAAATATTAATTTTATTTCCATTAATATTTAATCATTTATTACCTCTTTCTTTTTATGGACGTATAAATGAAGTCACGTCAACTTTAACGGAAGTGCTTTAATATTTGTCGAAATTTATTCGGTATCTCGTTAAAAATAATTTCAAAATCGATTCCTAGTTGCTCGGATAACCATTTTATAGTAGTAGGACATAGAAGAATAATGGCGATGATGCTAGCCGTCAAATGCACGAAGAACAAGCGTACCAGCTGGAAGACAATTTTCTTTGCTGAATAGGAGTCACGGGTTTTTCTGCTAAGGGTGACGGGCACACCATGTGAAAGCATAAATCTTGTTACTAAACGAAATAAAGTGAAGATAACGTACGTGAGTTATCGTGGATACCACCAGCCATCCCAGTAAAACAGTACTCGCTGTATTCAAATACGACGCATATTTCGAATGAAAGAAATATCGCAGATATGGAACTTTTGTATTTAAATCCATCCAGATTACGTCAAGCTATACACCATAACAATTCGAAATTATTAAGGTTATTACAAAATATCGTTAATAAAATGTCCTTTTTCACAAACTTTTTCTCAAAAATTACGTACTTTGCATATTACATTATTTAAAATTTTAATAAATCATCGAACGAGATATTTATTTATTTATTATTTCCTTTAATTTTTCGAGAAATTTATTATAAGAATAAAACGAACTGTGCCAATAATTTCTCTTACCTCTTTGTTGTACATATCCTACTGAGAAAATTATTCTTCGAATAATAAAGTCGTTACTTACGTCCATTTTGTGAAAGAACGAACGAATTCTTTGCAACGTAGATAAGTTTTATTTACTTTAAGCTTTTTACATGTTTAAATTTAAAAGCCCTTGGGATATCAACCGATGACAAAACAAACGAATGCGAATTCGATATGTGAATATGAATCGATATGGGAATATGAATCGATATGGGAATATGAATCGATATGGGAATATAAATCGATATGCGAATGGAGCACAATCTATGAATCATTTACCTTTGCGTTATTTTTATGTAAAATTAATATTAAAATTTCATTTCATCATATTTATCTTCTTAAAATCCCATAAAATCATAAAATTCTACTTTGTAAAAAATATCAATAACCAACATAACATTCAATGAACATATTTGTATAAAAAAAAAAAAAATAAAAAAATAAAAAAAAAACAGAATAGAACATTTCCACGTATTTTTTCAGCAAGCCATTGAATATAAAAAAGACAAAAGTTACAACTTTTAATTAGAAAAGTAAATAATTATTAATAAGTAATTTTTAATATACTTTAAATCTTTTACATTATACGTTAAATTAAAAAGAAAAAGAAAATTATATCTAATTTTATTTGTGTGAAATCTTAAATCTTTAAAACCCAAAGTATCACGATTGAAAAGTTAAAATTAGTAAGTTTAATTACTTTCTCTATTTGCTATCGTCAAAACTTTTAATCTTTTCATGAAAACGTAACAAAAGAAATGATTCAATTTAAACCAGTTCTTGTTCTTATCATCGCATTGTAATTGGAAGTTTCAATATATAAGAATTCTATTGATAACTCGAAAATGCTCGCCACTGTTACTACTTTCGCAGTAGTCCGAGTCGATAACAAAGATGACCTCAATCAAATCTTCAAGCTTAAAGAAAAGAAGAATAAGAATTCTTTTTAATCATTCAACCTTCTTCGAAATCTATATATTAAAAAATTAAATATAAGATATATTTTCTATCGAATCAACGATTCTCTATTCCTCTTTCTTTCTTTCTAAGAAATATTTAGATGATTGAAACTTCAAGAAGGATTTGTATATTTTAATTAAAAATTGATAAAAAAAAAAAAGATATTTTATTAGATTGTAGAATTCTTTTCAAGTCATAAAAATCACAGACGGTGTCGTTAATTAAAAGAATCGTTTACTTATCCATTTTTAAAATATCCTTTTTACTTAAAATTTACAATGATCAGATATCTCGTACAGATATAGATTATAATAACTATAAAGCAATGTAGTTTCGGATAACAAAATGAATTTAAATGGTTAGATTATTAGGATATTTTTGCTCCAAAGATTTTTTATATTCAAAAAGATTTTATTATCTTTTTCTTTCTCTCTCTATCTCTCATTCTCGCTGTCTCATATATGTATATAAGTATGCATCTTTTCTTAATTCTAAAGGAATCTCTTAGGCATCATCTTCTTTTATATCATCTTCTTTGGAATTAGAAATACTTTCATCCTCTAGTTCCATCGTAGTTCGATATACTTCGTCTGATTCGTTACTCTTTGAATCTAATGCAACTTCCTCATCTTTCTCGAGACTCAATTCTAATGACTTCGTGCTGCATTCGGAATAAGTTCTTTCATTCGGTATTTCGGATGTTGTCAAATTCATATTAAGAACTTCTGTTTCCTCCTCAAGAGCATTACAAATTCTAATGATGGTTCTGCACCAAACATATCCAGTCGTCCTTGCCGATAGGCTCGTTATTAACTGTACACGTCCAAGTATGAAAAATTAACTGGCCATGGGGCTCACAAGCCCTGCCTTGTTCGAAAATCATTCGTTTAACATTAATCCTTGATTATGATACTTACAAAAATATTCAAGTAATATCATTCTTAAATGATAATTTAATTTAGATACAAATTTCGTTAAAAGAAATATTATAAATTGTATATTCTCGATGTTTTTATTTAATTTAATTTAACTGCATTAAGAAGAAAATGGAAATTAATATAAGTTTATAAATTAATATAAGATGAAATTTCTACGATAAGAATTCATAAAAACTTAAGGGAAAATAATTTTTTCTCTGTGATTCTCTACAAATTTTAATTTTCATAATTAAGGATTAAGTTTTCATCAATAAGATAAATTGTTATTATTTTAAACTTGGAGGACCGATCGTGTGTAAGAAAATTATATATATATAAAAAATAAATACCGATACGAGTGATTACACTAGAAAGATAGATATATCTATAAAAAAAAATGGAAAAATAATTTCCAAAATCTATATCCTATTCGATCTTCTTTTTGAGTTATAGACATTTTTGTATATCGACGATTCAAGTTTTTGGAGAAAAAAAAGAACCATTAATAAGACGGATTGACATTAATTAATGAAGTAATTATTTGAAACATTTTATTTACCGATAATCGAAGTAAACGACTGCAAATTGACGCAAATCAAATTTGACGAAGATCAAATAGGATATACTATGTGAATCTTTCTATTATATTTTAATGTTTCGAGTCCCTATCTTTGAAGAGAATATTACGAATTCAAGATTATACATCGTATATCATAATTATCACGTATAAACATTTTGTTACTTTCGTTATATGCATGAAAAGAATTTTATTTCGCTGAGACAAAACGAATAAACGTTAATTAAAATCATAGTGTAATTTGTTTTTTCTCAACCAGTGAAACTCATTAGCATAAAATGTCTTTTATTGTTTCCGATTTTCTAGCTTATGTCAAATAACGTTTATATCATAGCCAGCGTAATTAAAGATCAACACACTGATGGACTATCAACACGTTGATATCTCCTGTTGCTAATTTACCCATAGTATTTTCATGTGCTTTATAAACACACGACTCTAAGTAGATACATCTCGAATAAATATTGTTCTAATTATTCGACTGACTAACGAAGAATATCGTTAAACCGATGCAAATAATTCTTACTCTTCCTCGCGTTCAATCAAAAAATTTCCATTTTCTCTGAATTTGAAATTCTATTTGCGTAAAATTAATTGCCCGATTAAAATAAAAAATATCCATCGAAATTAATATTTGATAAAAATACAATAATCCCAATTTCCTGTCCGCTTATAACTTTCGTACTGACGCTTTTTTAAATGTCATTTATAGAATTTAATAAAGCCGATGAAACATACGTGTACAAGCAAGTATATTATCGAATGAACTCATTTTCGTATTGTTATCGTAAATCAAACGTTAAACTCGCCCATTACACACGGATCATGATTTACAAGATTATCAGATTACATCTAGCGCGTTCAAAATTTTCGAGAAACGTATGTAGAATGACACAATAATCCGTACGAGTTATCCTAAAGTTAATATACGTAGATAAAATAATTAATGATCATTCCATTTATTCGTAACTTGTTTTACGTCTGTTCGTTCGTTCACAGATCGATCGTAATTTCATTATTTTTCTATAGGTGAAATATGATTAAATGTTGATAACGAAAAAAAAAAAAAAAAGATAGATATGAGATGGAACGACGCTAATTGTTCGTCTTATAGTTGGCTTATCTAAAATGTTGTTAATAATATTAAAACGTTATCACATTAAACGCAAATTCATACATTCGTACGTACATATAGATATATAGATACTGTCTGTATTTTATTACATCAAGAGCTCGTATACTCACAACGAATAATTTTACTAACTGCTGTAGTAAGAAGATACTGGTAGGATATATCAAAGTAACGGCAACCTCCATTAAACGCGAAATAATCGCAAGAGATAGCAAGAAACCGGTTAGCACGAGCAGTAAAGCAAATTGAAACGTTCCGAGCAATATCTACGACAACGAAAGGAAAATTATTAAATTTATTGAGTATCTCTGAGACGATCATAACCATCGATTCGAAACCTTCTCTTGTTGCTTTAATCTAAAAGAAAGCCTTTAGGCAAGATAAATAAATTCACTGAGATGGAGAAATGCGGGTCTTATAAAAAAGAAAAAATTCTAAGGATATCATAAAAGTATCAATTTAATTAAAACCATTTTATTAATAATAAAAAAAAAAAAAGAATCTTACGTACGTCTTTACTCGTTAATTATGCCATGTAAATTTTCAAATCGATCGATCGTCCCTGCTCTTTTATCATTTTCTTCGAGAAAAATACGATAAGAGAAAATAAAAAAATAAAAAAAAACACGGAATAAGATAAAAAATAAAATAAAAAGAGATCACCTAGAAAGATGAAGAATGGTCTTACACAGAGGAAGGAAAACATCGTTGATTTCCTTCTGTCAGATCGATCGAATGTTTTTTCTTTCCATGAGATGATGTCATCCAATTATTCATAGTTTGTATTAGTTATTCACAATGATAATATTTGACTTCCGATTTTTCTTATATTATTAAAAAAAAAAATTATTACATGTGCTTTGTAATACACTGAATTTTCTTTTTTGATTTCCTTCGCTCTGTGTTCATATCCAGTCCAACTAACAACACTTAAAAAAAAAAAGTCATATTCTGGCGCATCATACTCGCCATTTCTTGGATGACTCCCAACATGTCTCCTCGTCAGAAGAAGCGAAACATGAAATATGAAAAATGGTAGTCTGTCCTGATCGTTTGACTTTTTAAATCTTTGCCTTCCAAGATGCTACTCGAAAAATTTTAGATATCTCGCGAGATTAAATATATCGAAAGATCAAATATTTATCGAGATATGAGTCCTTCTTCTCCTTCATTTTTTCTTTTCTTCTTGTACTTTTAAATTGTTTATTGCCCAATAAAACTAACATTATTATATCTTTTCAATATATATATATATATATGTGTGTGTGTTAATTTGTTTCATAAATTTTGAATAAAATTCAAATAGATAAAATTTACAATTAGAAAATAAAAGCATTATAGAAATATACCGAAATGTACAGCCATTCGCTCGGTAGTACTTGCGTTACATAAATTATAATTAGATTTCGATAAGATCGCAAGTAATACTGACCCAGATCTCACCACGTGGAGGTTGCTGCATGTGGAGATCCACGAGCTAAAATAACATTAATTAGTCGCGTTTAATGAATCTTTTATCGACCCGATCGTAATCAATCGAGGATTCATCAACCGTGACTTTGACCTATCCTACCCATCAGAAAAAGCCTGGATTCTTTATTAATTATCTTAAAAATATTTTTATAAAGTTCTACATAACTATATTTAATTAATTATACGTATAAATTGTATATCTCGGGAATATATAAACTACATATATTTTATAATCGTTACTATGTTACATTTATAATTAATATGTTGTGTTATTGATAAATCTAAAGTTGGAGATTTAAAAATTAAATAATGTAATTGGGGAAATTATGAAAAAAAATATTGTGTTAATTCATAAGTAAATACCGTTTTATAATTAACGGTATTCATTCATGAATCCTCCCAATATATATCTAATCTTTTTAAACTATCTTAATTACTAAGTGGCAGATAATTAACCATTCTGCAATTTTTTGCCTTAAATTAGTCTTAAAAATAATTAAAGCTTAAAATTAAAATCCTTAATAGTACTAATAAGATAAACATGCTGAAGCATAAAAAATGAAGCATTAAAATTCCAATATGCAACATTCAATATGTATCATAATTATACTCTTATGAATTATCATGCAATATACATTCATATATAAACACATATATGTGTATATATATGTGTATGTGATCGTATATGAAAATCGAATATAATGCAAAGTATCGATTGACCGCAAGTATCTATGCAAAATTATTGATCAAGTTATCGTTAAAATGTAAAAGAAATATCAATATTGTAAAAATGAAGCTGAAGAAAAGTAAACTTGAAGAAAAAGTACGACGCAATAGTTCTCCTAGGAGAATCTACGAGAGACCAATTTTATTTTCACGGATATCTTTTACGCACATTGAGGTCCTAACTTGTGAATGTAATCTCGCTAAAACTCGCGGGTTTAGCTATCATTTGATATGAAGAAAGAGGGTACAAGTTAGAAAATATCTACTAATTACCTGTAATTAACGAGAACGAGATACAAATCCACGTCAGGCTGGTACAAACTGGAACGACAATGGCGTCATCTACATCGTGAAGATAAACGATTCGTGTCGCGCATGCGCACTACGTCACCTTATATATATATGACGCGCTAATGAATACATAAATTTCTTTTAATATATTATTGAAAAATAACATAGAAAATAATATCTTATTCCAAAAAATCATTGAAAATTGTCATTGATCATTTGATAATAGACAACTATTTTCTCTTAAAGTAACTAAAATAAGTTCCCGTTACAGATATATAAATTCTCGCGGCATATATATAGCTTTCTTTTTTCTTCTACTTCGGGAGTCAAAAAGTAATTTAATAATAAATCGAACAATCGAAGAATTATAGTTTCTTTTATTATTAATTTCTCTTTTAAATGTGCAATAAGAATTAAATTTTATTATATTTGCTTATAAATTGATCTATAAATATTAATTAAAAAATAACTTATATACGAGATATTTATTATGGACTCGATGATAGTCGAAAGGTTTACAATATCTTAAAAGAGAAACTGAAATGAAGAAATAAGGATTGAAATAAGATAAGAAAATAGAAAGGTTTTCCATCTTACATTTTCGGACATTACTAACCTATATAAATTCTGAGAAAAAATATTAGCACACTGAGTAATATAATTTCTTGGAAAAATACGTGTATTTAATGGCAAAGTATACATATATAAAAATTCTCTCGTATGCTATCACACAGATATTGTACACATAGACACGAATATACGAAATTAAGTATGACGATAAAGAAATTTGATCTAAATCTGCGGACATTACTGACCTATATAAATCGATACGCTAGCATATATAATTTCTTGGAAAAATTCGTACTTTAAATGTCCAGGTAAGCAGACAAATACTCTTTTAATTATTTGTATATATATAATGCCGGTAAATGTTCGTAAAAGCATCACGTAAGCGTTAATACATTTGATAAAATAAAATAATTCTATGATCGATATCGTTATCGATCAATAATGAAAACGATAATAAGAAAAAGAGATGAGAAACAATTAATCCGCAATAATTTTCAATTTTCAATTTTCAAACATCTAAGATTAAAATATTAATACTTTCGGAAATTTCATAATTATTTAAATAAAATATAATGCACATGGAGTACAGTAAATTAATATTTAAACATTATATATATATATGTTTATATATATATATATATAAAATAAAATATATATATATAATATATATATATATATATAAAATAAATATATATATATATATATATATATCAATTATATTTATTATTCTTTATGCATTTATATCGTAAAACAAATGCATACCCGTATTGCGTGATATCAAACGTGATATCAAAAAAATAAATGTTAGAGATTGAAAAATGTAAGTTCATAAGTTACTAATACTATCTATTAACCAGTTTTTAATCTATACTAATTCAATTGTTATGTTATAAGTAAAAGAGGTATGATAAAATAGATGCACGTTAGCGTAAACGAAATGAGTCTTTTTGTAATCATTGAAAATCTACCTTAACGATGTAGAAAACATAATTTTATTGCAAATAACAATATTATATTTCGACCAATGAAACTCAGGATTACATATTTGCACGAATAGAATGCTTAATTAAAAAGTAATATAAAATTAATTCGGTAAAAACTCGCTATTAGGCATTCAATCGTAATATTTGGAACGCTTATTGAGATCGGATACGTTAAGAGAAATTCTTAACCTTATTTAAATCTATCTCGTGTTAAAGATATTTTAGCATACGAAATGTTTTGTTATTTGGATCGAAGGTAAAGCGCTTGTGAGTATGTTACAAATAAAGAAATCAAGTTGTTGAAAAAAAAAAAGAGGATGGGTACGCAGACTTCAAAGAGGTAAGATAATGTTATTCGTATTTTATTTTATTTGTACATCTTATCGATTGTGATACTTCGAAAGATATGAAATAAACAACAAGAAAACAAAGAAGACATATGAAAATGACACGTTCAAAGTAATCTGAATGGATTATCAACAAAAAATATTAGGCTATTCCTTCGAATTAAACGATTTTCGTCCATGATATTTATTCCTCGATATTTTTCTCGTTCACCATGACATCCTTATCGTTTCTTATGAATCTAGGTTTGAAGGTTTCATTAGGCAATACGCTCATTTTCATATTTTCCTCATTTTTTTGATTTTCCGGAACAGCTTGACGACCAATATCCATAAGTTGCATCCCTGTACTCATATCGTAGTACATATTTGGAGTTTGATCATTGCTAAAACGAGCTGAGGTATCCATAGATTTATAGGCTTTCATATCAGACTGTAATAGAAAATTTATTAATTCAATTGAAATGAACATTTAACGCGTGTAATTTCGTATTTAGTCCAAATAATCAGTTGTTTACCATTTCTCCTGATTGCATTCCTTCCTTATTTCTCGCGGTCTGCATACTAATGACCATTGGATAGCTAGATGAATGAGGAAGAGAAGATATTTCCGAGTTATAGTGAGCTGGTGATGCTACAGAAACGGATGGTGCGGCAGGAGGATAGATGACCATTGGTATAATTTTCGTGCCCTTTTCCTTAAAATGAGTCCGTAATACGGAAGATCCATCAGTTAAGTGTGCTGGATGCGTTTGTTTGCAGCTACATTCGGTATGGAATGGTCTTGCCTGTTGATACGTTGATCCTGGTATTTGGATGACCGATTCCGATTGCTGATAGTTCGCTCCGTAAGGAATCGATGGTACTTGAACATAAGTACCTGGATTGCAGTTTTCTTGATTTGTTACTATAACAGGATTCGGCACAACAACGACTTGCTCTTCATAGGGTTGACGAATCGGAGCCACTGGTACTAGGTTGATAGTTTCGACAGGCTTCGGTAGGGGATTTACGATCATCTCTGATTTTTGTTCCTCATTATCCTCCTTATTTTCGGTTATAACCGAAACGTGAACTTCCGATTTATGCGAGTGTTCTTGCTGAGGAACTGGTTCAGGAACTGGCTGAAGAGCTGGCTGAGGAGCTGGTTGAGGTTCTGGCTGGGAAGGTGGTTGAACTGCAGGCTCGGAAGATGGCAGGACTATTTTTTCAGAATGAACAGGTTCGGATAAATCTAATTCTGACTTCGATGGCAGCGTGATGTGAAGAGATTGATGTACTGGCTCGGGTAATTGGGCAGATGGTTGCAGGAAATTAAGAGTTTGAACAGACGGTGGATTGTTGGCTTGAGGCTGCAGAAACTGTACTGCGTGTAGAGTCGGTGCTGGTTGAATGATATTTAATGTTTGAGGTGGGTGAGGTGGTGCATGAATAATATTCACACTCTGAGGACTATGTGAATGTCCTGGCATTTGTTGAGGAGATAAATAAGAAACTGGTTGAGGAATTTGTTGAACAGATGATTCTGGAACGTTTCCTTCCCCATTCTTGCAAGCACAAGGTATCTGAACAGGTTCGTTGCTTCCAGGTTTGATTTCCACGCAGAAAGTTGTAGTAGATTTCTTCAATCGATCCTTTTCATCACCGATCTCTTCGATCTTTGGAACTTCCTTCACGAGTTTCGTATTGTCGGCCAAAGATTTCTTCTCAGAAATTTTCGGTCTAGCTGGTCCAGCTACAGCCAAAGTCAGGAACAGCGCCAAAAGAAATCCCACGATTGTAAAACGCATGATTCTTTTTTTTTCGAACTGTTGTTAAGAGATCGAACTGAAGAACTGAAGTGAAGACGAATGATTCAATCCAGGTTTTTAAAGAAATCACTGCCACACATATTTTGCCATCTCATGCGAAATATTGGTATGCAAGTTTGCACAATCGCATACGCATCGAAAATATACAATGTCATATCAATGACACCTGGCTTTACTTTTCATTAGTTTAATTGTGCCAATTTCGAAAGTGGAAATTATTGCGCATAAGGATCCTGAAATGCGTAAATCAAATAATGCGTGAGCTAAATAATATTTGATATTTTGTTCTTGCATAAATAATAACGATGAGAATTTTTCATTTATATTGCAAAATTTCTTCCTTACGCATTTTATGCAGTTATGCATATATATATATATATATATATATATATATATATGCATAATTATGCATAACTAAGGAGCAGTCGTTTGAAACGTATGAAATATATTTAATTTTGAATTAAGATTGATTTTATACATTTGATTGAACTAAGAATTTAATAATGAAACTTATTCTAAATATTATATTTAATTTTCCTCTTGGATGATAAATATATTTACACATAATATATTTTCTTAATTTCTTTAATAAGAATCTATTATCTTTCGACAAATCTTATATAAAAATAAATATCGATGAGAGAGTGTGTTGTAAGTACAAACGTATTATTCTATAATAATATGTCTGTATATACTCAACTTAAGCACTGTCTTCATTTTCCTTGACTCTGTCAATCATAATCGAAAGTTTTTCTATAGAATAAATAAACAATACAGATAAATTATTTGAATTAATATATAAATGAAAAATGAAAAATATATAAAATTACCGTTTCCAAAATAAGAGTTTACATAAAGGTAGAACATTTTTGTATTTGAAAAAAAAAAGAAAAAAGAAAAAAGTTTTACGTATAACATATTTTTATTTTTATTAATTCTCAAATTTTATTGTATTATGAAATACATAAAATAATATACAAAGTTTCAATTTATATAACTTTCGGTATATTCATTGAAAAGAATATATAAGTACGATACTTTCTATTATATATCTATATACATCGTTGCATCGAGTATGCAAAAGACAATAAAGGAGTCGCATTATCATCATCAATTTTTTGTCATCATCGAACTTTCCGTAGATTCGTTCATGGTAATTGGTTCTGTCTGTTCAATAGGAGGATTTTCAATATCATCTAAAATATCGGGGTCAAACTTTAAAGAACTTCCTTTAGTAGCATCATATTCCACATTGAACGTATTTAGTGCTTCCATGGGAAATAAATTTCTTTTCTCATTATTAGTAATGTCATGCTGATCAAAAAAAGAACCACCTTTCATAGATTCTTTCGCTTTGTAATCTTCATTGGATATTAAACTCTCAGATGATTTATCCTGATGAAACTGCCAAAATGGGGTGACTTCTTTTTGATCGGGAAATAGCTGATCTCTGTCGATAAATTCCAAAATTTTAGGGACATTAGATTTTTTTAACAAATCATAATAATTGTTATGTTCGATTTGTTTTTTTTCAAACAGCTTAAACGTATCGACGATTGGCACGGAATCGATAATTTTATCTTCCGAAGGATTGTTTCTAAAAAACGAATTCGAATCAACAGATTCATCGATCTCTTCTAAACTCTCAAGAGGAATCCTCGATTCTTTAAGTACATCCGCCGAATCAGATTTCTCGAAGATCGATGTATCATCCTCGTCTTCGAATGAGTTTCGTTCTTGATCGGCACGATAGACGATTAGAAATTTTTTCGATGGCTGATAATCCTCGATATTCTCTTGCGATAATGATTCGACCCTTCGATAAGGAATTTCATTCATTCGATTCGATCGATCGACTTTGTACTTTTGATTGTTCTCAACATTCCTTATTGTGTGATCACCAAACTCATTGAACTTTTGAGACTGATAGTTTCGACTAAGTAATCTATTATTACTGTCAGAGTTTGTTATTAACATAAAAGGATGTTGGTTTAACGTTCCTTCTTGGTTTGATGAAATGGTGGAAGGCTTAGAAGCCAAATAAGGATCGAACCTTCGTGATTCTCGATCTTCAAAGGAATCTTCATGTTGGTATGGATTTCTTGTTCCGGATATTGAGACGTCTGAGGAATCGTCACCTCCATTTCTTGATGGGTGTCCGTATTTGTTGAAAGAATAAGATGTTGACATTGGGCTTGAAAGAGCCCATTCGTCGTAGGATCTTTCAACGAAATCACGATATTCCCTTGTTCTGGGTATTTCTTCGTAGTCTTGTCTTGGATACCTTAAAAAAAAGAAAGAGAAAAAAAAAAAAAAAAAAAAGAAAGAAAAAAGAAAAAAGAATATGAATCCTGATCACTTACATTTATTCGTTGATGTCAGATTATCGTTTTTTCAATTTTTTTTTTTCATTCGGCAAACTTTCTTTTTATATATTATTATTAAACCTCTTATCAGAAATACGACAAGGTGTCAGACCAAATGGGTCTCTCGTTGTTTAATCTCTAAATTTGGCAAACGGTTTTGTTTTCCTTTTTATCCTGTTTTTTTTTTTATTATTAATCCTCTTACCAGGGAGATGACAATGTGTCTGCCCATTCTCGATTACACGAGGTACAGGAAGCATGTTTTGGAAATCTCGTTCTTGCGTTATTCCAATAATAATTCTGCGATCCACAAACTACATCTGCAAACACGCAAAAGAAAATGGTTCTAACAGAGATGGCAATAATCCTCGTCATATTACTTACTTATGTACCAGTGCTGAATGATTCTCGCGTTTTTATAAGCTCGTCTTTGAACGATTGTATTCAAAATTATTATGATTCCAATGAGAAATATTTTCTCTTTCCTCTTTCCTGTTTCTCTTCTTCTCATTTTTTCGAGATCATTGTGCAATATTATTGATCGTAAGATTAGTTATTCATTTTATTTATTTTTTTTTTCTTCTTCTTTTTATACTTCCGTGATAATAATTATGATCGGAACTGAATGAAACAGGAAGTATAATTGTTCGTATCGCTTTTTCGTATAATATACTATACGCATAATTGACGATATGATTCGACGCTTATTTAAATCTCTATTTAACAATGTCCAATGGATATTGATTATTTATCGAAAGAATTCAAGGATTATTCATTATTTATCGAAAGAATATCCATTTATTCAATTCCACCAAAACAATAAAAATATTTTATATGGTTGACAAATTTAATGTATAGATATAGGTAATAATAACGGTATTATTAATGGTTCAGATTATCATTTCATTCATAAATCTCTGAAGAAGATATTTGAATGGTTAACAATAGAGATATTATCAAATGGGATTGGTGTATCGAGGGATTTTTTATTGTATCTACGTCGTATATCTATTATAACCATTCGATCCTACGTGTCAAGGATAATTATTCACGAATTCGCGATATTACGCTTATTGTTCGGAATAGTGCTAAACCGCAATACAGCACGTAGCTAATCTGTTTCCCGATTAGATTATCAAAACGTATGCCTCATGAATATTTGATAAGGCCGTCGAACGATATCTCTGGTACGTTGTGCAAAAAAATCCTACATTTTATGATCGATATAATATAATTATATGTACATATATGTATATATGTATATAAAAATGAAATTTATATATTTTATTATAATATTAAATTTATACATTTTATTTATAATATATCTATTTTAAAGATTTATATACATATTTTATTATTATTTATTTATATTAATTGTTTATTAAAATAGGCAGGATGCGGGCGATGAAATAATATCGAAAAAATCTCTCTTGGTGGTCAAAGAAATCATTCATTTTCTGAAAGAACGTAAGTTTCGTATAAAAGTCGATCGATCATTTCTCGAATAATATTATAGATAACATATATGTAATACACTTAAATAACATAGATAAAGAACGAAATAAAAGAATAATTTTTATCTTTAAGACGCACGAGAGGAAGGTCTATTTCGTAGAGCAGGACGCCGTAAGCTCAGATATAGAATCTTGAATTCGTTGAAAAAGGGAGAAAAGCCACAATTCGAGCTCGGCGATGATGTCGCTCTGGAATGCGCTGCTGCTTTGCAACTTTTTTTAAGCCGTCTGAAAAAACCCGTCATACCGCAACATGTTCAAGAATTAATTTTGGGTTATTAGAAAATAATTTATCAACAAGTTTAACACTCTTTCGGAGTTACTTAGCTTGATTGTAATTCTTTTCTTTATTTGATTCGATCGATTACGATTTATTTATTTATTCCATCTATTATCTCGATCTTTTTAATCGATCTTTTTTTTATTTTTTTTTTTTTTTTTTTTTTTTTTTTTTTTTTTTTTTTTTTTTTTATAGAAAAATAATACTATATACTACAACATCTCGTAAGTAAAAATGTATAACACGAATAATGAAAAATATTACGATGAACCAGCATCTGTAAAATTCTTACGAAATGATTGAAACTCGTCGTTCTAAATACTTTGACTCTTTACATATCGTATTTCGCAAAGTAAAACGTTATTGCATATTATTTTAACGTTCCGCAGTCAGCAAAAATAAAATGAGAGAGAAATACGTAAATGTTGTAATCGTGTCGTCGTACGGTAAAAATGACAATATAGGCATTTCGTAATGGATTTGTTAACATTGTAGAAACATATAATGCGATACGAATAAGGAATATTATTATTTCAATTAGCCGATAATCCTGGAGTAACGGCAGGAGTAGTCGCACGCGATGCCCTTGGTTTAATAAGGCAAGATGTCAGTGGTCGTCATAGTGAACTTCTATCTGATCTTCTAGACTTAATTAGACATTTGACACTTTCTGGACCGCCTTCCGAACGAACAGAATTACAAGGATCTCCTTTACCTATAGCTCTTTTACCCGTCTTCTTCACATTAAAAGTAAGATTCTCGAAACAAAGATTTCTTTGAAATACATCCTAGTGAACAAGTTTATTCTTTATAAAGCCAGCCGATCTAACAAAATGGAAACAAGTTGCTGCACGATTCAATGAATTAATCACCGAAGCACCAAAACAATTACGAACTAATGAAAATCGTCGCTTTGAATCAATGACTACATCAAGATTTAATGAAAATGATCAAAATGTAATAAGACCATGTTGAATTCTGTATTTCTAACAATCGTTATTATAAATTCTTACGTGCTTTATTAATTTAGGAGATTCTACAAGAAACTGAATTAGAGGAATTAACAAGATACGATGAACTACCTATGCTATATCCTTTTAGTAGACTCACGGATAATTATAATCGATGTATGTAAAGCGACTAAAAGTTATACAGCTATTGTTCCTCGCTAATTTAAACTGTTTCCAGGCCACACCGGAGAAATGGCACATATTCTTGCAACACCTTTACATTGGCCTCCCGCTGATAGATTGCATCCGTTTATATCACATACCGGTCGACAAATTAGGAGCAACGTGTGAATTTTCTTATCATTTATTTATTTTAATCAACATTGCTATTAATATACATAAACTAATCGTCTATAATTTTCATGGGTACATGAGGAACAGGTTGACAAAAAATTCAGTACATATGTGTTTAGTGCAAAATAATTCATACAAATTTTTTATAAAATATATATATATAATTAATTATTGATATTTTTCTATTTGAATAAAGAAATTTTTTTTTTTTTTTTTTTTTTTTTTAAATATCTTGACCTCATTTAAAGAATCATAAGACGTAACAGAATGAGAAAAATCTAACTGAAATAGTAGAGTACTGTTTACCGACATATTAATGCCGGTAATAATAGATCCTTTCTCTATCAATCAAACAGTATACTGCCGATAATAGTAGAGATTTGTTTTACCTATAATAGTGAAACACTCATATATTATGTGGTACATTCATAAAATGCTGAATTAACAACACCATGGTTTTTTTTTTAGAGTATTTTAATTTATTAAAGATAATATTAATGTTGTTGTATTAAATGATAATGTGATAGTAAAATATGAAGAGAAAGGATAAAAGTGAAAAAACGTTTGTTTTCAAATCTATATAATGTAATAATAATCATTTTTCAATTTGTATAGAATATGCATTAGTGAAATTATTTCATAATTTATAATCACATTTTTGTCATATTGAGAACATTGAGTTTCAAAATTCAGAGCCACTTTGAAATATTTGGTCCCAACAAAATACAATAATGATCAATGATTTTTTTCCCTTTATAGAAATAGGTTTCAAGTGAAGATTAAAAATACTCAACATTTTACACTTATTATGCTATCTTTACTGTGCAATTTCGGTGTATAGTAATTAGACAATAATCTCTCTATTATAGTATAGGAAATGACAGTGCAACAATTATTTGTGAGAACAACAAAAAGTCTTCATGATTAAGTAGCCAGCCAATGAACACATAATATTCTAAATCATTCAAAAAAAAAAAAGACAAAAAGAAAAAAAAAGACAAAAAACAAATTTGATGAATTACATAAACTCTAAAGATTATATCTGTAATACTTTTTCTTTTCATAATTAATTACAAAAAGTATAACATATTTTAAATTATTTTTAATCTCGTCAACAACATTTATTATATTAATTGTGTAAAATTTAAAACAAAATTCAGAAACTAAAGATATTTTTCCTTTTAACATCAGTGCTAAGATCAAAAAATTTACAGATACTACACATTAAAACAATCAAGATACCTGATTATATTGTTGAAGCATATATATATATATATATATATATATATATATATATATATATGTATATGTATATATATGTATATATATACACACACATGTACATAAAAATGCTAAGGTTTATTTGCACAGTTTGTACTGTAGCTACAGGACCAGCTAGTACATGGCTGAAGAGATTTAATTTTTTAATAATATCGACTATGACCATGAAAACCACGATCGATTGGACTGTGTTGGTGATTTAGGAGATGAAGGTACCGACGACGATGGAGTTACTGGTTTTGATGAATTTTCATTGGCCTGATTTTTTAATCTCATTTTTTCATTTGTCTCTGCGTGCATTTTCTGTTCATATTTTCGAACATCTTCAATGGTCATATCGTACCATTCATCGATCCATGCAAATGCTTGCCGATGACCCAATAGTAAAATATCTCTTATGCACTATATATAGACATATTAATACATAACTATGTAATAAATGATAATATTATATATAAGTTAAATGAAAATAAGTTTTTTAAACAGAATATAAATTACCCTGTGTATAAAATCTTCTACCCGAGTTTGCATACCCCACACTTCAAAGGAAGCATGAACTAATTTATAAGAACACATAATTGGTTGTACAGTATCGCGCCAACCTTCAACTAATGGACCTCTGCCTGTTCGTTTAGATTGGAAAAACTTAGGATCCTATAATAGAATTAACTTTAAGATAATCACTCTGTGATCATAAAAATTATATCTGTTTAATTACCTCTTCCTCTTTATAATGTTTTGCAGATATTTCATCATAGGCAATATCAATATAATCAACTTCTCGATGTATAATTTCTATTGGAGACAAACCTAAACACTGCGTATTTCATAAATATTTAATATTTATACTTAAAAAAAGTTATATAAGATATAATATATAAAGTTAAATGCATACATTATCCGTCGAACCATTGTTATCCTCGTATCTCGTTTTTATAGATATATTAAATTTAGGTATGAAAGAACACTGCAAAACATATATTTATTTATAACAAATTATGATTAAATTTACATGCTTAATATACTTACAGTATATACTATAGTTGCCATCCATAGTGATATAAAAGAAAAGTAATGCATTAACAAATGTTTCTTTTAACAATAATTTGATTGTTATGTATAAAAAAAAAATATATATATATATACATACATCTGAATATATATATTTACCTGTCATGGTAAATGGATAATAATTCCAAGCTTTTTCAGTCACATAAAATATTTTTGGTATAACAGATTGAATCCAATAAGGAAGTTTACTGAAATATAATGAAAAAACAAAAAAAAAAAAAAGGAAAGAATGATAATGATAAAAACTAAATTAAAATATTGTACTACGAGATTCGTGAATATATTTACAAAGATCTTTTATTTACCTTGAGAGGTGAATTCTTTTTTCTGTATATTGACCCTTCCCATGTTCAGGATCTTCGCATTCAATATTTTCTATTACTTCAACTCCACCATCGGAATCTGATTGTTCATGACTATGTCTTGCTATCATATAAAGTTGTCCAATTCGATACTGTGTAAAGAAATAAGTTAAAAATAATAATAAATATAGCTCGTAATAAATACTTTACCTCTTCTGTGGTAAGAGGCATACATATTCGATATTCTTTCGTTAAAACCATGTTCTTATAAAATACTTTTCTTAACGTTTTATAATTAAATATTAATAAAACATTTGTTATGTATAATGATCCACGCACTGATATAATATTTAATTCATGAGTGCACGAATAAAAAATTGTTTTAGAATATTCATAATCATTCACGGAAAACAATCAATCACATACTTTCTCTCGAAGTTCGTCTTGCTTACTATGAAATCGATAGTTAAGTTGGCCAATATCGTGTCGACAAATGTAACTATTAGTAAATCAAGAGAATTTTCTATGTTTGTCAGAAAGTGTCATTAAGTATAACCAACTTGGGGGAATATTTTCTAAATTTATAATTGCTCGTTTAAATTGACATCCTCACGATCGATAATAACCAATCATAATGGATGTCGTTATGATAATAGAAATAATATGACTCGCTGATTGGTCCACGAGTACGATGCACTATGTACAATGGTGAATGGACATATAACATAAAGTTTCTCTCAATGAACTTGATCGATGAACTTGTGAATATATAATATGAGCTTACAGTCATTATCGATATTTTAGCGAAATCGAAATTCTTTGTAACGGAAACGTAGCGAAGTTCAGGTATTACGTGTACAATTGTACGTAACAAATTTGTCGTAATGTGGACAGCGATCAAATTTAGATAACCCAGCGTTGAATACCATATAATGGAGAAAGAAGGCTAGAAACAAAGGGAAGCGAAGTTGGGAGACAAAACAGTGGTCGTAAGGTGTAATAATCATCAAACAAAAAGTTTGACACACCAATGGCCTATCAAACTTTTCGGCAGGAGTACCTGCAAATGCCTGTGGTAACACGAGTTTATACGACAGCTTGTGTCATCACAACTCTTGCCGTGGTTTGTAAAGCTCTTACACGTGTTATATCGTATTATATTTGAAACATTGGATAATGAGGTTATAGGACTTTATTATCCCTTTCAGCAATTAGATTTAGTTTCGCCGTTTCAACTGTACTTCAATCCCATTTTAATAATAAAACAATATCAGGTAAATATATACGTATTTAAAGATCAAATTTAATATTAAGTTTTAAGTATCAAATATATATATATCAAGTAAATATATGTACTTTGTAGTTATGGCGTCTGATAACCACATTTTTATTCTTTGGGAATGTTGGCTTCAATTTTTTCTTCAATATGATTTTTACCTACCGTTATTGTCGAATGTTAGAAGAAGGATCTTTTCGAAGAAGAACAGCTGACTTTGTAATGATGTTTATTTTTGGGGGTATATGTATGATTGTATCCTTTTAATGAAAAATCATAAAATTCTCACAATTTTTAATTATGCGATATAATTCCTATATAATAATAGACATTTGCGTTTTTTGTCAACTTACTGTTTTTGGGACATGCATTTACAATCATGTTAGTCTATATATGGTCACGGCGTAATCCATTTGTTAGGATGAATTTTTTTGGAGTTTTAAATTTTCAGGTACGTATTTTTCTGTAATATTCAAACGTATAAGTATAATTAAAATATACAAAATATAATCATACAAAGTAAATTAATTTGAATGCAGGCACCATATCTGCCATGGATACTTCTTGGATTTTCTATACTCCTAGGTAATGCTATATGGGTAGATCTCGTTGGGATGGCTGTAGGGCATATGTACTATTTTGCAGAAGACGTTTTCCCACAAATAAGGGGAGGTTTCCGTATTCTTAAGACTCCACAAATATTGTAAGTATGGTATTATAAAAAATTTAATTTGTTATATGAGTATATGAAATAAAAATAAAACAAATTCAAATTTGATTATAGTGCAATAACATATCTAATTTATTTTTATTTTATAATATTATCTTTTAATATTATAATATATATTTTACGTTATATACATAGAAAAACATTGTTTGACGCACATCCAGAAGATCCAGATTACACTCCACCACCTGAAGATCGACCAGGTGGTTTTAATTGGGGTCAAGGAGCTATGCTGTAATTATTTTTCATCTCCCTATTTCCATGAGCCATCCATTGTTAATTGATATATCAAGTAAATTTATGAATTTATATACATCTGTGAAATTTGAATTTTGTTTTGCAATTTTTACAATTACTAACAAAGATAAAGTGGTTTGAGCATACATATTTAGATATTCGAAATATCTCGTATATATTGACTGTATTACGAAGACTTCCATCTGCTACCAGGGGTTACAATTTTTTTCACGAAATAAGTGTGATAGTCTCTATACACAAGATTTTACTTGTTTATTAAAACATATGTATTATAGAAACAAAGATCAAGAATGTTGAAATCATTTGTAGCGATACTATCTTGGTGGAAGCATTTATTTATACTAGCACTAACATAATATAAATATTTCCAAAGTACAAATCATATTAAATATAAAGTGAAGAGACACTACATATTATTTTAAGTTTATTTATACTTATCTTAAATGTTAATATAACTCTGGACTAGATACATTACCCATATGCTCATAATTATTCTACTGCAATGAAAATCGATCGTTATCAAATGAAATAGTAATATTATCAATGATTGTTACTTTTAATAAAATATGAGTCAAACTGTATATAGTAGAAATTTCAATTCCACGAATCCTTGATAGCATTAATTTGCGTGATAATTGCTGAACTTTCTAAAAGAATGATAAAATTGAAACCCCTGATGTAAAAAAAAAAAAAAATCTGCACTAACAATGTTTTGTCATATTAATATCTTTTTTAACTCACGTGTCGTATAATGTATCATAATAATAGTAAATAATAGATATAACATACAAACAATTGCTATCTAACATCAATATATTTGATGTTATATTGCCAATAAACCGCATGACATATGATGAATATATAGAATACATCACAGAGATAAACACCTCTGGCCAATAAACATTTTGTAATAAAGTGTTTCAAAGAAACTAACTAATGATATTGCACAATTAATACTACAAAATTAACAATCACAGTAAATGAAAATAGGGATGCATGATTTCTGATATTAAATATGAAAACATTGTAAAGCAATCGATAGTATAATAGAATTTGTTTTTGCTCATCTACTTGTTTTAGAATATACATTTACACAATAATGAATATCAGTCTGACATAAGTAATATGGATTTTGTCAATAAAATACATCTACTCATTGATAAATACAAAATATCTGTAACAATGTGTACATAAAAATAGGAACTATCAATTTTATCTGTAGTATGTTATTAACAATTGTTCCTGACAAACATTGTTTAAAACATGATAGTCATTACTGATGCTCACTTGAAAATAATAGTTTTATGTAAGTCGAAATAATAAAAGCACCTTTTTTACAAGCATACTACAAAGTTATAAACTTTGTTCATTATAAATAATAAATGAAAACATTTACTAATTTGCTTTATAAGCTACTTATTGCCAAACAATTGCTCATTCTATCTTTATATTTTTTATATTTTCCATAAAATTATATTAATATAATATTCTTATATAACACTGTGATGTATTCAAATTCTAAAAGGAAATAATGCATTTGTCATTATATATATATATATATACAAATTCGAATTCTGATCTCATTATTGTGTTACAGTAAAATTTGTATTAATGAAAAGCCAAAGCATTATAATTATAATTTTTGATATTATATAAGAATATGTTTAGTTGACTTTTACTTTGAAGCACTTTTCATTCTATATATATATATATATATATATATATTAAGAGACATATTTATACATATACTAAAGTTTTAATAAAAACTTTTTAGTTTAATGTTACTGTTGGTTATACTGTACACTACTTATGATCAACATCCCTATTTCAATTTTTTTTTTTATTTTTCCGCAACTGTTTCATATACTTTTCCTTATGTTTCTACTTTAAAAATAATTTAATAAAAGGTATTAAATTTAAAATGTAACTCAAATTCCATTCTAATATTTCTTATAACGATATAAGAAACTAATATTGTAATATATCAGAGGTGATTTATAAAACCATTTATTTAAATTTAAATAATAGATGATCATCATAATGGAATATAATAATGTATCACTAGATACATATATGCAATGATATGGACTATAATACAATGATTAACGTTTTCTATCATACACATTTTCATATCAGATTGCCACCGTTGCTAAAAGCACCGTGATATCGTCAGGTTTACCACCTAAGAAAAATAACTAATTTAGTTACATTTTAGACTGCATAAAATATGTCTACATAATAATGTATAAATATTTGTCTCAGATGCGCGTGCGTTAAATATAGATTGTACAGATTATGTATAATATACTTTCATGTATCTAGATTCAATTAATCTTAGAATTAAATATAGAAAATATAAAATAATAAATACCTATCGCGTCGATTCCATTTTCTCTTGCACTTTGGGCAAAGGGTGACATAAATGCTCCATCGAAGGCTAAACTACGTGCCATCCAAGCTATCGAATTAGCAACACCTTGTATCTTCGTAGGGTCCCTTTCACCTTCGATTTTACGCATTTCAGTGACTAGCAACTGATCAGGCACGTTATCAAATACACCGTCGGTTGCTAAAAGGATTACATCTCCATCCTCTACTCCAAAACTAGAAGTATCTGCAGATTCTGGACTATAACAAAAAGAAAACAAAAGAAAAAGTTAAAAGCGTATAATTTATAACCTTCTTGTAATGGCATAAAGTAACATAATTTTTAATTAACCTGTCACTTAGTACTAATCCGGAATGACCTGGTGGTGGCAGAGATAACTGAAATGGAGTATTGAAGTAGTGTTGTTGTTCATTAGAACGGTGAACAACTTCACCTTTTCTCACAACTACAAAACCACTATCTCCTATATTTGCTGCATAAATGCTGCTAGTTTCCTTATTCAGAATTATTACGCATGCAGTACTGCTACCTATAGATAATACATATCACACATCATACATTTCTACTAATTACCATAATTTTCATTTAATTCTCACATACTAAGCATTATGAATAAAATATAACTTTACCTAAGATTGGTTGTTTATTTTCTAACAATTCATAGTAACTACGCGCTAATAAACCAGCTGGTTCTGAAGGGATGAACCTGCCTATCGAGACTAGCCTTTCGCATGTTCTCATTAAAAAACTGGAAAATTCGCCTGGATCTATTCCATAGTGTCGCCATCCTCCCACACCATCGGCTACACCTAACAATTATACATTAATATTAGAGAAAATACATACATCTAAAAAAAAAAAAAAAGAAAAAAAGAAAAAGAGTAAAAAAACGTTCATAGTTCAAAAGTCAAATAAAAATCGTTCAGTTTCATTACATGAAAAAGATTTTCTTTCTCTTTTTTTCTTTTTTTTTTTTCTCAAAACGTTTACGTCATTAAACATGTAATTATTTTATAACGTCAAATTACAAAAACAGAGGTTAAAACAATAAGAATTCTGTTGGATCGGAGTATAAAAGAGAAAGACAATGGTAGAAGATAAAAAGGTAAACGATTAGCTATCTCCATTTTAATCCTGACGAGCACGTGATGTGTATGGTACGTAAGTTCAATCCGATAGAAAAATTCTGCAATTTCCGTTAAGGATTAAACCAAAGAAATTTCGTAGAGGATTGTTCAATATATAAAATGGAATGGAAAATTCCAATTTGAAAATTCTCTTGCAATCGGTTTATTACGAAATCAAAGCGTAATAGATTTTTAACGGTTAAGCGATGAAGGAAACTTTTAATTTTTTTTTCTTTTTTTTTCTCTCTTTTTTCTCTCCCCCCCCCTCAACCATTCATCAACGACGTTTCGTTAAAACGTACCAATTACTTCGACAGCCTTGAATTTGGCACTAAACCAAGCGTCATCTCCAAATTGTCCCTTTCGTATACGGCCTCGTGCAAAATCCTTAGGGAAGCCACACACTGCCGATACAAAAGATGCTTCTCGACGCTTGTTCACGTTAGGATCAGCGCATGCTGAATAATTTGATATGCTATTCCATATCGCTCGAGACAACAGCCTCCCGGTCCAATAAATGGACTGCATATCGTACGACGAGACTCAAAACTTCGTCGTGGACATCATCTTCAGCTAAGCCGACGAGAAATTTCTCACAAAATTGATATGATCACTTTAAAAACATATATCGTGACATGTCTATACTTCTAATCTATCTCCCTATATAAGATCTTAGCGTAGCGTGAGAGGCACGACGGAACAAAAAAAAAAAATATCTCTCTCACTCGATTTTCTCCCGCAACACTTTATCATCGACCACACTGCTAGCCTTTCATTTTCGTCTACGTTAGCGAAATCTAGAAGATCAGAAATTGGATATTAACAATTTAAACAACGCCACTAAGTCGATGGCAGCGAAAAGAAGCTCGTTCCTAAATTCGTTTCAAAATTTTCACCAGAGATGGCGTTCTACCCGAAGCGGGAAAAAGCTTCATTCGAACACGAGTATTCTTCATGCGATACTTCGAAATGATTTAGATCTTACGAAATAACTTCGAAAGATACGTTTTTTCTTTTTTTTTTTGGTTTTTTTTTTGTTTTTTTTCAACACATACTCGTTGATAAGTTTTTCTACGTAAGCAAAAAGCAATAGAGAAACAAACGGAAAGAAAATTAAAGAAAAGCAAGAATGATTTAAATTGTTACTTAGAAGAAGAAGAAGGAGAAAAAAAAAGAAAAAAAAGAAAAAGAAAAGAAGAAAAACAGGGGGGGAGAAAAAAAAGAAAAAGAAAAAAGAGCGCGCGTTCTAATAATTACCGACTCGAGGGATAGGATAACGCAGGGTTGCGCAGGGTAACGCAGGAAAAGAGGAGAAAAGCGAGAGAGGGAGCGGTTGTAGGTGAGAATGAAAAGGGATGGAAGGATTGAGACAAGGGGGAGGGGAAGAGAAGGTAAGGGAAGGGCGAGAGGAAGGGAACGACGGAGAACGAGGAAGCAGTCGGAAGAGAGAGCTGGCGGAGTAGTCGGGCAAGAGCGAGTGCGAGTGGGGCGAGGTTGTTGCGGGTGAGTCCGAGAGAGGGTGGTGAGGGTGAGAGGGTGGCGAGGGTGAGAGGGTGGTGAGGGCGAGGGTAGGTCCGTACGTACACCGTGAGAGAATCGATCTAAAACTAGGAGTCGCCGCAGTAACCGCTGGGAGGAAGCCACTGTTACAATTTGCACCCATATGCGCTAGTGAAATCTTAGATCGAATAATCGTATGGCGAGCTGCTCGAGAATGAGCTGTACCCGCCGCTCGGTGGTTGCTCGCGTATGACCGGCGCGTTAATAGGGGGGAACGCGAACGGAAAGGAGAGAGAGAGAAAGAGAGAAAGAGAGAGAGAGAGAGAGAGAGAGGAAGAAGGAGAGGGAGAGAAAGAGAGAGAGAGAGAGAGAGAGAAAACGAGAGAACGAAAAAGAGAAAGAGAAAAAGGGTGGGTGGTCGAGGGGGTTCACGGTAAGGGAGGGGGGAGGGCGAGGGGGGTGGAGAGGAGAGCACGGTGTCGCATCCTACGGTGATTCGGTGTGTGGCAAAAGGAGAAGAACGAGCCTGGAGTGAGCGAAAGGGGTGGAGGTGGTGGTGGAGGAGGAGGAGGAGGTGGAGGAGAGAGAGCAAGAGAGAAAGAGAGAGCAAGAAGGAGAGAGAGAGAGAAAGAGAGAGAAAGAGAGAGAGAGTGAGAAAGAGCGCGCAAGGCTGGGCGGATAGCGAGCACCGCACGAGCAGCATCCCGTCGCAACGATAATGCGACGACGTGCACCTTTACTCCTTTCTCTTTGAATAAGTGTGCTTGCTGGGACGGTCCCTTACCTGCAGGGATATGACGTAATGGCAAGAGAGGTACGCAATCATCCCTTTTTCTTTATATTCATTGACGCATCGCTTTTGCGCTATCGGTCCCCTATCGTACATGCATATATATATGTATATATATATATATATATATATATATATATATATATGTATATATATATACACACACATACATACACATGTATACGTATGTATATATATGCACGGACGCACGGATGCACACACATAGACACACATGTATACATATTTATCATATCCCCACCCCCTCTTACTTCGTCGCGGTTCGCTTCGTACGATCCTTAGCTCGTTCAGAAGAAGATAAAAAAAGCAAGCGCCTTGTAGGTATCATCGCGTTGTTTCGTTGGTTGTGCATCTCGCGTTCGTTCGTATCCGATTCGAATCTCTCTCTGATCGTGTATGTCCGAAACACAATTCGCTTGACCTACTTCCTCGACGTCGTGACCTCGTGACACCAGCAGAACGGTGGTGGCCGATCCTCTTCTACCACCACTACCACCACCGCCACCCCGCATGCTTCGCTCGAGTACGCGAGCAATGTCAGAAGGCACGATCCTCTTTCTTTCTCTCTCTCGTTTGATCTCTTTCTCATTCTCTTTATCTCTTTCGTTCGTTGTTAGTTCTCAATCCGAGAAATAAAAGACGCGAGTTCCTTTTTCCCCCGTGTCCGACCAGTCATCGTCTTTATCCACTGTCGTCGCGACATGATAGCACCGTGAAAGAAGTGTGTGTGTGTTTGGTAGGATCGCGTGCGTCATTATCGCCTTCATTCTAATCGCCGTCGCTGACAATGTGCTATCGCATTTTTCCGATTTTCTAGATTCATACGCGCCACCGACAACGAAGCGTTCTCTTTTCTTGCGTGTCATCGAATCGCGGTCCAATAAGAAGATTACATTTGTCTATCGTTGTTTACTAATTGTAAGACTTCCACGTATATTGCAACGAACGTTGTTGATTACTTTTTTAACGTTTGTCATTCAATTTGTACAAAAAAAAAATTGTCGAAGCAAGAACCAAGAGCGGCGATAGCGACGACTGTGGTTAACTTGTTAGAGACATTTTTCACCCTAGAAAACCCGGCACCTAGACTGTCTGTCTCTCTCTCTTTCTCTCTCTCTATCTCTCTCTCTCTCTATCTTTTATTTTTTCTTTTCTTTCTCTACCTATCCCTCACCCTTTCCTTCCTTGTCTCGTCGCCCACCTTCCATACGACGCCTTTTCTCTTCCCTTCGAACCTTCTCCGAGACGGTTTTTACCCTTCACTCGAGAATGATTGAATCAGGTCAGTGTTTTCGACCATAAGTTGTGCCTGCGCCTGCGCCCTACTCGCTTAGCGCCACCCTGTTGAAAACTAGGGACAACCCAAACATAATATTCCCCGTTCGATTAGCCTTATTCTAATGGCACTCGTCACGTTGAAATATAACGCTCTCTTTCTTTATTTCGCGCAGTGCGTACTCGTGTAACGTGCCGATAACGTAGAGAGTGCAGACGGGTTTGTGGAAGAAGAAAAAAGAAAAGGAGAGAGAGAGAGAGAGAGAGAGAGAGAGAAAAGAAGAAAGAAAGAGAGAGAGAGAGATAGAGAAGGAAAGAAGAGAAAGAGGAGAGATCATTTTGCGTGTCGCGTGTCGCGTGCTTGCGTGCGTGCGTGCGTGCGTACGTGCGCTGGCGCGCTTCATTTATCTCTGTGCCTTTATCTATTTTCTCTGTGTATAAATCGCTATATGTTTTCGTGCGTGCATACGTATCGTCCGTGTTGTATTTTCTACGAGATCTACGCACAGCCTCGGTAAAAAAAAAAAAAAAAAAAAAAGAACAAAAAAAAAAGAAAAGAAAAGAAAAGAAACGAGAAGAAAACCATCGGGTACAAAGATTCCGAGTGCAGCCAATAGTCGACGTACCCTTCATAATTAGCACCACCGTCGAGTCTAATGAACCCAGAGGTTTGTTCCGACATGTCTAATATGTACGTGCTCGCGTTTATATGTTTATGTGTGCGTGTGTGCCTATGTGGATATGTGTACGATGTATTTAAGAGGATAGAAACATTATTTTTTTTTTTCCTTTTATCACTTTTTCTCTTTGCGCATCTATAATTAATATGATCGTGAATAAGTGGATTATTTCTCTTTATTTCACATCCGTCCTTTTTTTCATCTTTTATTTGGCTAATTAGAGTTATGCTTACGATAAGCTCCAATTAATGTGGACTTAGGATATTCCTTTCGGGTCCTGTAACGTCCCATTTCGATGTATAATTTTTATTTATTTATTTATTTATTTATTTATTTATTTATTTATTTTCTTCTTCTTCCTTATCCTGTTTCTGCTTTTTTCGTTTTGATCTATTCATCTTTTTTATTATCGGATACTGTCATACGATGACGAGAACCGTTCATGTCTTTACGCCTTTGTAACATCACCGACATAAAATTGATATTAACGCGAAGATGATATTACTTTATCGATTAAAAATGCATCCACCACGCGAGGAATATTCATTTTTTAACGTTTTAATTTTCCACGAGAAACTCGGTACTCTAATAAGAACAGGTAAAGCAGCACTGCAATTAGATCGCCATGCTGTTGTACAAGAGGCTAAATGATACGGAACGAGTAAAGCGTCGGAGGGCGAAGAATTACAGTTGAGCTCATAATATATGAGACGTTGCAATTAAAAGCAATTTAGAGTTAATTCCTGTTTCTCTCTTTCTATCTCTCTCTCTCCCTCTCTCTCTCTCTCTCTTTCTCTCTCTTTCGCTTTCTTTTCCTTTTTTTTTTCTTCTTTCTTTCAATTTTGCTTTTCGATTCGAGAGTAGGACACTGAGAAAAAGTATGTAGGTAGTCGACAAGGTGTGCTGCATCGGACACACCTATCGATTAAAGTTTAAACTTGACACCCAAAGTTAAGATCCTCAACCTAAAGATTAATCTCGTAAGAACGTCTTTCTATATTTTCTTTCTTCCCTTTACTATTGCTATTATTATTATTATTATTATTATTATTATTATTATTATTATTATTATTATTATTATTATTATTATTATTATTATTATTATTATTATTATTATTATTATTATAATTATTGTTAATAGTTATAATTATTGTTAAGTTTAATCTTTAATTAATTTATATTATAAATCTACGAACGAATGGCGATACGCACGTATGGCATGGTATTTCAAACTCTGACTAAGATTAATTTAACCAGATCGATCTTAAATCGAAGAACATCCCCTTTCGTTACGAATTATCTTCCTCTATTAATCGTTACTCCACTTTTACGTACGAACCATGCAAGTTTGAGTTACGATTCGATAGTTATTTTTTTCACCTGGAATATACGGTAAACTTCGTTTATCGTCTGTTCTACTTAGTCACTGCGTATAAAGGATACAGGGTGGATTACTTTCCCGTTGACCCGGTAGAGACACTTCACTTAACATCGAGGTGATAAGCATTATCTACGGACAGTTTAAAAGTCTTATTATCCTACTACTACGCATACCTGCCCTTTAATTTTTTTTTTTTTTTTTTTTTTTTTTTACTACCACGTATGTATGTAAGTTATGAGGACCAAAAAATTCTCGTTTTATGCACGTCGAGATTGCCTACGAACGATTGCTTTTTTAAAAACTAAAGAAGGATAGAAGAAGAAGAAAACGAGAGAGAGAGAGAGAGAGAAATGAAAGAAAAGAAAGCGTTCGTTTTCGTAACCTCGTCGTATTTTTAGCTTTCGATGTGAGACACGTTTTAAAGGCAAAATTATCGCAATATCTTTTCGCAGGAGTTACGGAGCAAGAGACCTTTTAAGATATGGGACAGTTGGCGTAATGTAAGAAAGGGACTGGTCGTAAGCAATTTCGAAGAACTGATACATCGAGGTAAGAATTTCTTTTCCTTTGAAATTAAATTTTTGAAAAATCGAAACGATTAAATTGATATTGAAATGAATCCGTATATCCGTTCATTCGAATAATCGACATATTTTTCATTAAAACGAACGTGTCGTTGCTCAGGACGAATGTAACTTTTTCTATCTTCCCCGTTTTAAATTACATTTGGGATGTTGAATTATATATCAAAAGGTATCGCTTTTTATCACGCAGAACATTTCACTCAAATCAATTATACAGACGATGAAAACAGAAAGTAATAAACAGAACAGCTAAGTAAATAATGACGAGTGGTAGAATCAATAAAATTATATTTACAAATAAAATAAACGTGTCAATTCTCGGAAGGGATAGGTGATCGAAAAAAAAAAGAAAAAAAAAGAAAAGAAAAAAAAGGAAAATAAATAAATAAAAAAGAAAAAAGAAGAAAGAAAAAAAAAGATCAAATCATACGACAGTTTTTCCAACACAATTTGACATATCCATTTCATTTAAGAATTCTCTCTAGGACAAATAAAAGAGAAAAAGAAAAAAGGAAAGGAATGATAACATTGTTTCACGTGTTACAATCATTATCTAGCAATCGTGGATATCGATTCGATGTTCAAAGATATTTTTTTTTTTTTAATTATGAATCAATAACTTATTGATTCTGATTCTTAATTCATAATGATTGTGATTTTAGGTAAAGAAAAACTGGGTGTACCGCAAAATGAAAATGTCTCTTTAGTATTGGAATCAGACGGGACGCAAGTGGAAGACGGTGAATACTTCAAGACACTAGCCAATAACACGATTCTCCTTTTATTACGGCATGGTGAACGGTGGTGTCCAACTGGTGTCGACATCATACGAGCCGGTACATTATTACTTTCGACCGTATACATGTATATGTATTTATGTATGTTTTGTAGGTATCATGTACATACATAAGACGAAATCTCGTTAGTGCTTGAAATAATATTTCTCGATATTATTTTTAATATTATCTTTAATAAGACGATTTTATGATCTTTGACGGACGTCTCGACGCTCGAAATAGGTTCTTATCTTCGATCGTATGCGTTTCATTCGAGCGTTAACGAGTCGTTAAAAAGCGATCGAAGGAAGTTCTTTCTTCATAGTTCTTTCATGCTTTAGGTTCTTTATCTATTCTTTTTTTTTTTTATTCATATCTACTACCACACTATATAGAGGAAGGAAAACAGATGAAAAAACGAGCTAACGATAGGCAAAGTTTCCGTACGTCGCACCGTCCCTTGTTGATGGTAGTACATTAACGAAGCTTAATAAAAAAACATGCAACAAAAAAAAATATATACGAACAAGCTCGTTAGCTTTGTCTTTTAACAGAGAGAGAGAGAGAGAGAGAGAGAGAGAGTGTTATATATATATATATATTATATATATATATATATATATATATATATATATATATATAATATGTACATATATATCCAGTGGCATCCATTAGAAAATGGAGTGAAAGGACTAAGCGTGTGGGCGGTCCTCTTATAATAAAACATTATTTGCCTTCTTTGTATCCTGACTGAGGTCGATTCTTTGTCTGAAAGTAGTAAAAATATGTGAAACCTTTTATATATCACGCGCGTCTATGTCTGACGAGCGACCACGTGCAAAACATGACGATTAAATGTTAAAGCAATATAATATGACCTAATCTTGCGTGTCTGACTTTGTACGAGCCGATGCTACTCCTACAAAAGATTTTTAAATTAATTCCGTTTGACATATTTCCTCGATAGCGTTGACATTTCTCAGTTGAATCATTAGAACCGTTTATACTTAGGAAGAATATACTTTATAGCAAGGTCTAATTAAATGACACAAATATGTCGATATTAAGGAAGCGCATCATTAAAAGGGTAAAACTATACAGGTCATTAAAAGTGACACAAAGTGAAAATGCTCTTACTGAAATGCTATATTATTTTATGTATGCTCGATTGTCGCCACTTTATAACTCACTTCACAATAGCCGGTAATAATAATAATGGAATGTATATGAGAACTCTTGAATAGAAAGCCAATGTCGATTCGTAAGTATGATAAAACAAAACTGTTTGATTCAAGGAATGGAGCGATCAGATAACGATTAGTTTTCTCGTTCAAGTAGTTACGTTGAATTGAATAAAAAATTTTCTCTGTCTGCCTGGCTGTCTCTGTATCTCTCTCTCTCTCTCTCTCTCTCTCTCTCATACGTTCATCTTAAATCTTTTTCATACATCTAATCTTTAAATGATAATAATCGAAAGAGCTCAGCATCGAAATGACACGCATTCCCTCATTTTCAGCGATATCGGCGATACCGAAAATAGTTTGCGAAACGATACACGCCCTGGAGCTGCACGATGAGACGCCATCGTGGAAAATCATGGACAATAAGGGACGAGTCACAGTGGTCCTACATTGGGACCAACGTTCGTCGTCGTCGTCGCAGGTTCAATCGCAGTCGAAGGGCACAGATGCCCAGTCCTCCAAGTATTCGCCAACAAAGAAAGCCGATCTGAGCGGGAGTCAACGGCCCTCGTTGGTGATTCAAACTAGCCTTGACAAATTGAATTATGTGGGAAAGTCAACGCATCTGGCGGGCGAGCTTGGTCCCAACAGATACGCGAGTCCCCAAATCACTGTGATAAATCATGATGATATGGTAGAGAAAAATGTTGAGAGCTTTAGAAAATAATAATAAGAAGAATTTCTATGTACGACGATCCGGCTAATTTTCTTTCTGATCTCGTAGCAAGCGCAACAACAGCAACAACAACAACAACAACAACAGGCGCAGCAACAGACACACGGTATGCCAGGTCGTCTGGTGAAGCAAGGAACGAACTCGTTCGAAAGCACGACCATTCATATCCATACGCCAGAGTGTTCAAATCACATTCATCAGCCGGTAGCAAGGAATGGTAGTCCTGTAAACGGTGCGGACAACGGGACGACCGGGGAATGCGACTTTCATTGTTGCGCCTTACACGAGGAAGGCCGTAGAATCGCCGTGCACAAGTCGGTCGCAACCTCGCCGATCCAGGACAGCCAACATCAGCAGTATCAGCAGCAGCATCATCATCCACACCAGCAGCAACAGCAGCAGACCCAGACACAGACACCGTCGCCCCAACCGCCCTCCTCCCTCTCCGACGGCACGAGGCGATCGGGACTCGGTAAGGGCCACGTCAGATTTCGCGATACGACCGACGAGGAGTCGAGTCCCCGTCTAGGTCCCGGCAATTCTACGGGAGGCTTCCATCTACATCATCATCATCACAATCATCATCAGGAGCACGATAGTTCCGAGTCCGAAACCGAGAATACGATTATGGAGGACGAAATCGTCACATCTGAGAAGTTTTTATTGCTAATCGATCAGCTCACCGTAGATCAAAAGCATCATTTAAGCATCAAGGACATCGGCATTATTCTCGAACGTTTAAGCTCCAAGATATTGGATGTCGAACGATTGGATCGCGAGAGCGAAAGCGAGGAGTGTTACAACTGGACGATCAAGGCCATCATCAGGGGTGACGTACTTCGAGAATTGGGCGTCATTTATAATGGCAATTATTATGCCATATCGGAGCATCCGGGATATAAAGAGGAATCCGAAGAGAATAATGAGGATAACGAGGAGGAGGAGGAGGATAGACTTTAATACGATGCTGTTTTACTAGACGGACAGACAGACAGATAAATAGATAGATAGATAGGTAGATAGACAGATAGATATGTAGTTAGATAGATAGATAGATAGGTAGATAGATTATATACCTATTAATGGTATTATTAACATAGCATTTACTAAAACGTAAAAACTGGTTGGGGCTCGTTTCGATGACCACTGCGTATTAGTGGGTCATAGGTACGAGCCGCAGGAGAGATTTGCCGACATGTTATCCGAGCAAACTCGAATTGTATGAAACTGAGTCGTGGTTGAAAAAAAAAAAAATCGCAAGGAAATTTGTCGACTTTTAAGGTCGACCGTAGCGAGAAAGACAGACACATTGCGGATGTTCCGTCGGTGTTACCGACGGAAATCACGGGGACGGGTTGTCTCGTATCGGTTAAGGATCGGCAAAAAGTGATTTTTTCAAAAGGTTTTCATATAATAATACTACTACTACTACTATTACTACTACTACTATTAATAATAATAATAATAATAATAATAATATAACACTAATAATGAAGAAAAAAAAAAAAGAAAGGAATGCATCATTCTGAAATCATATGATACATTATAAACTTAGTTCTAAAGACGGTTGTTGAAATATCTACTTATTAAATAGTATGTATACTTGTAGGAAACATTTTTGGGATTACGGACGTTGATTCCGTAACCGTCCACAACACTGCCCTATCTAAAAAAGAGAAGAGGAGGAAGAGGAGAGGAGATAACGAACGATGCGAAATGTTACCTCTATCATAAGCGAATAAGACGACGACGTTTGCGCACGATTTTTTAGATTTATGTTCGATGGATTGAAGTTTAACTTTCTTCACCTCCTTTTCATCTTTCTCTTTCTGTTTCTCTTTCTCTCTCTCTCTCTCTCTCCCTCTCTTTCTCTTTTTCTCTCTCTCTCTCTTTCTCTCTCTTTTTCTCTTTGGCTTTCTCTTCTTTTGCAAACGGTAAATTTCTTCGATCATCAATAAAATAACAAGATTGTATCTTGTTCTGAGAAAGATAGATTGAGATAGATAGAAAAAGGAAAGAAAAAGAGAGAGAGAGAGAGAGAGAAAGGGAGGGAGAGAGAGATAGATAAAAAGAGAAAGGGAGAGAGAGAGAAAGAAAGATAAAAAGAGAAAGGAGAAGGAGATTGAGAAAAGTGAGAGAAAGAAATTGTGATAGAAAAGAAGAGAAAAGAGTGCTACCGATGATGCGAAATGAAAGGAAAAAGAATGATTATATATACATATATTGTAAGGAGAAAGAGCGAGAGCGAGAGAGCGAGAGAGAGAGAGAGAGCGAGTGTGAGAGAGAGAGTGAGAGAGAGAGAGAGAGAGAGAGAGAGAGATATGGAGAATGCGAGAGCCATATTGTACATCGTTTATCGCCGATGTAAATTTACTATAATGAGAAAAAAAGGAAAAAAGAAAACGTAACGCGCGTACGAACTTTCAAACGTCTATACGCTAACATAAGAAACTACGATGAATTATAATCGTGCAAAAGATGAAAACTTGTATCGTTCAATCGTCACGACCAGCCGTTAATAGTCTCTCGTCATACAATGCACTCGCGTATAATAATAATAATAATAATAATAATAATAATAATAATAATAATAATAATAATAATAATAATAATAATAATAAAATCAGTCAAGGAACACTTCGCCAAACACACGATATGCCATGTACGATATTACATATATATACATTATATACATATACATGCATACATCCAACATGCATAGATAATTCGTCATTCAGAATTTACATTAGTCGTATATACATGCATATATACATACATATATACATACATATATACATACATACATGACGCATTACGATTAAGTGATAAAGAATCGATTAAACGATAAGACGCGTCACGGACGAGATCAATCGGCGCTCTCCGTTTGAGAAAACTTTGCAATTTTAATATATTTCTATTGTAAGTATAATACTCGACGACTGTGAGAGAAAAAGAAGAAGAAAAAAAAAAAAAAAAAAAAAGAGAGAAGAAAAAAAGGAAAAAAAGAAAAAAGATACAGAAGAAAAAAAAGAAACAAAAGAAAAGAAAAGAAAAACATAATAATATAAAAACAAAAAAAAAAAAAGAAAAAGGAAAAATGAGAAAGATATATAGAAGCACGACGAGAACGCTGACTCGGATAACGCGCTTATCTCTGCTTGTGGAACCAGCTCATCTATGTGTGTACGTACAACATATGTACGGAGCTGTGGCTTAAACTTGATGGGAATAAAAGGAGATAGAGAATGAACATGAAAGGAAAAGAGAATTATATAATATGTGTATAGAGAGCCAGAGGTGGAAAAAAAGTAAAATATAGAGAGAAAGAGTTAGGGATGAATCTGGTAAAAACACGTGTTCAAGCATTATACCAGTACACCAGAAAATAAGAAAGAGAGAAGAAGAGGAAGAAAGAAAAGAGAAAGATAAATGGATAAACACATAGATATGTAAATAGAAGAGAAATAAAACGCGATGCGTACCATTTTTCGCGTATTTCGTTCTCTACGTCGGGCTCTTCAAAATGTTTTTTTCGCAAATGATTTTTGCACGTGTTCAGAGATAGCTTCTCATTCGAATTGGGATGAACGCGAGCGAAAGAACCTTTTGTTGAACAATGTTACGTGACCGTTCGATTTATTCGATACGATCAAACATTCCTTACTATTGTAAGGCCAACAGTAAGGTTTTCGTAAAGAGGAAATTATGAATGTGAAGAGGAGGAGGAGGAGGAGGAGAAAGAGATGGTAAAAGGGTGGTGTCAAACGGGTGGTTGTCAAAGCGGGAGTAAATGATGATGATAATAATAATAATAATAATAATGAGAAGAATAATAAAGAGAGAAGAGTAAACGAAGAAGAAAGAGCAGAGAAAAGTAATGAAGCGAGAGACGAAAAGAACGACGCCTTTGTTATCTCGAAGCGTCACGAGTCTCCCTTGTTCGATCAAATCATTTTCGATTTTTTCTTTCTTTCTTCCTCCGTAGATGCGAGGCAGGAATCAAGTGAAAGAGAGAGAAAAAGAAAGAGAGAGAGAGAGAGAGAGTGAGAGAGAGAGAGAGAGAGAGAGGGAAAGAGAGAAAAATATGAGTATACTTTTACGATTTTTAAATGTAGACGACTTCCTCCCCAAGGACATTTCACGATTAAAAACCCTTTACAGGTTTCTGGTATCGTAGTGCCAGTTTAAATAATAATAACATTAATAATAATAATAATAATAATAATAATAATAAAATAATAATAA